ATAATATGAATATTAACCCAATTTAAACTTGTCTATTAGCGGTTTACACAAGTTTAGTTCTCATTATGCATTACTTTAACTTCCACTATGTAATAAGCTTACACAATTTGTTTTCAAACTATTATATTCCTCCCTAAATTTAGTTATTTTAAGATCACTCATTTTCATTCTTTCTTTTTTTTTTTTTGAGTTGGAGTCTCACTCTGTCACCCAGACTGGAGTGCAGTGGCTGCTCCCGGCCACTGCAGCCTTGACCTACTGGACTCTGGCCATCCTTCTGCCTCAGCCTTCCGAGTAGCCGGAATTACAGACATGCGCTACCACGCCCGGCTGATTTTTTGATTTATTGTAGAGATGAGGTCTCGCCAAATTGCCCAGGCAGGTCTCGAACCTGCGGGCTCAGGCTATCCACTCATCTCAGCCTCCCAAAGCGCAGGATTACAGGCTGAGCCACCGAGTCCGGCAAGATCACTCATTTTCAAAACTTAAAGTTGAATTCTGGGAACAAGAAATATTATTAAAAAATTTTGTATCCTGAGCCCGCAGGTTCGAGACCCGCCTGGGCAACTTGGCGAGACCTCATCTCTACAATAAATCAAAAATTAGCTGGGTGTGGTAGCACGTGCCTGTAGTTCCAGCTACTTGGAAGGCTGAGGCGGAAGGATCGCCGGAGCCCAGCAGGTCGAGGCTGTGGTGGCCGGAGTGGCCACTGCACTCCAGTCTGGGCGACGGAGTGAGACTCCAACTCAAAAAAAAAAAACCAAAAAACTTCTGTACTTGCTTGCATTTATGTCTCTTTTCTTCACTGCTGAGTCCCCAGCACGTAGAATAGTGCCTAGCATAGTTAGGTGCTCAATAAATAATTATTGACTGCCTTACAGTGGAATGAGTTCTGCCTTTGGAGTCATGAAGGCCTGGGTTAGAATACAGACTGTTTGTCCTAGGGTAACTCCCTTCACTCTTCTTAACCTCCGTTTTCTCACCTAGAAAGTGGAAATAATACCTACTTCACAAGGTAGTTTTAAGGGTTTAATGAGAAAATGGAAGCCAAACATCTGATCCTATTGGAGTCGTATAATAATTATTAACCTGCTCCCTTTTCAAATTGAGGAAAAGACCTCAGAGATTTATTCCCTAATATTATTCCTTCTCCTTCCATAATCTTTTTTTTTTTTTTTTTT